AAGCAGGATGCAGAGAAGCAGGAGGGGCGCAGAAATCACCATTTGCATCACACACAGCAATCATCAAAGGACATTTTGCTCCTGATCCTGGATGTAAGGAATCCGAGAGGCTGAATAGGTAGAGCTGCCTAGGGCAGAAGGATATGGCTTTGCCCACTTGAAAAGCTGGCTCTGGATAGCGGAGTGCTTGGAGCCATCTAACAGAGCTCTGGCTCTCAACTGTCCCATCAGGAAAATTCTGTGTCTTTAGCAATGATGAGTCAATGAACCCATGAATGAGCTCTGACATACAGACACACAGGAGCTAGGGAAACCACCAAGTCAAAGCCTTACCATCCTTCACACCAACTGCACACTCAAACATCCTCCTTTGAGTCTGCAGCAGAATAAAGGAGTTGGTTAATGATTAAAGTCACCTCCAGAAGCTAATGAACCCTGACAACTTTAAAAGAGTCTTATCAGACACACAGGCACTCCCCACCCTCTTCTCCTGGTGTGCTTCCCACTGAAGTCAAGCCCACATGGGCACTACCTGAGCACCAGGCAGCCCAACAGCACGTGATCAGCTGTTGCTTGTTTATGTACCTTGCTAAAAGTGGGCATGAACAAGAAGGTGATTTGAAAGTGAGAGTCAAAAGCAGGATTATGTAAATGGCAAGTGAAGAAAAAACAGAGAGAAAACAGGCATAGGCTTCCAAGGCTAGGTGGAAAGGAAATAGGGATAAAACCTAGCACAAGTTCATGATAAAAATATGCCAATTTTCAGTAAATTAACATTTTCTCCAAAGACTGCTGGTACTTTTTGATGCTACAAACAATTTCCTCCCCATCTTAAGATCACAAAGTTGGGGGTTTTTACTTAACTTCATCAGGGAAAGAAAGAAAAAAAAGGCAATTAGAAGTCACATCTAAAGCTGTGGCAACAAGGAGACTTCAGAAATGAATGCTCCTGCAGCCATGGTGCCTGGAGCCTGTCAGCTCTCCCAAAGCAGAGGCAGCAGGCAGATGCCCTCAGGAGTGCTCAACCCACATCTTTCTTTCCAAATCCAGAATCTGCATGAACCCTTCCAAATCCATGTGCATCTCACAGCTGTATCACTGCTTTTCCACCTCCTTTGCTACTGTCAAATGGAGAACTAGCCACTAGACTTTGCATGTATTTGTTTATAGGACCATCCACCACACAAACTTTGGGCCAAGGGAAGGGTCAAGAACATAGCCTAAGCACTTGGGACTGAAAACTCAAGGAGATTGCATTATTCCTTTTTGGAAGAAAACAACTCTACATTCAAATCCAGGCCAGCTGCCAGCCCTTCAGGGCTCTGCCCAGCCTGGCATTTGCACAGTGCCTAGTGGAACGGCCCAATATAGGTCATTAATAAGTTACGAAGTTCACCTTGAACCCAGAGTCTCTTTACTAGTAATGGCAGCTATTTATCTGGGCGCTCTCATTTTTATTCCTGGAAATTTATTCTACCCTCCCATTCCCACCCCGTGTCAGCCTTGCACTTTAGATACACACTCTAAATACTGAGACTGCCATCAAGGTCACCGCTGACCAAGGAGGTTATTTTTAATTAGCTACATCAGCCTACCAAGAAAATTCCCACTGGAAATCAAGTACAGCCATCCATTTTTTAAAAAAATGAGATGAACCAAATCACTTAAAGAGGGCAGCATTAGACCCTCAAGCCCTTCAAAAAAAAAAAAAAAGAAAAAAAAACCAAACTGCATCTATTCACAGGAATTTGACAGTAAAGAATTTATGTCCAGGACATCAGGCTCAGATGGAGAAGGGAGAAATTCACAAACGCCTGCACCAGACTTTTTGTTCTAGGATTAAACCCCTTAAGTGAATTGTTTATGGAAACAGAGACAATTGGAGGCAGAGAGAGAAGAAGGGCCCTGCAGCTACTAAACAAGGATGGGGAAATTGAGCAGGAAGAGACAGATCAGCACTAGCACAGTTGCTAGAGAAGGTGCAGGAGAGTAGGCACCTGTAATCCCTCCATTTGACAACAGCAATGGAAAGAAGTACGAGCCATGATACAAGGATCACTTATAGCTCAGGAGTTTCTGGCTTGTGGTTTTGTGACTGAACAAACAGTGTTTCTAGATCCATTTTAAAGGTGTGAAGACACTTTCATTTGTACTGACTGGACAAGAAGAGGGTAACCAAGAGAAGGCTCTTTCCTGTCACTCCTGGATGCCAGCAAGAGCATGTAATTCTTTGGCATGCCTTTGGGCACATACACATCCCACTTGTTTAAGTTTGAAGTGCCAAGATGTTATATTAATAATGCAGCAGTGGGGAGAGAAAAGACATCCTCTACCAGCTTCCAGGGAACAGGACAATATGTCATTCTCAGAGACAAGTCTTAGCCTCAGCTTATGGTGCTGGCAGCCAAAAGCTTGGACACAAATGCCTCAAAGCTGAGTCATGAAAGGGGTGCGGAGGTATTTTTAAAGAAATGTAGAGGTCCCTATATCAAGAGATTCCCCTAAGAACAGCTAAGGCTGGTACTGTCAGAAGAACAGTAAGAAAATGGGATCTTGGACTCAAAACTGTGTACATATACTCTGCCACACATTTCTGCAGGAGCAGAGCCCATGGAGGGAGTTCTCATCCATGGAGCCTTACCCACCACTGTAAAATCCTGTGGAATACACATCCAAAAACATTAGCTAGAGGCTGCAGCTGAGTCACCCAGACTTTCCTCTGGCCTCGGCCTGAGAAGTTCCAAGAGAGTACGAGGGCTGATACAGTCTTTTACTTCTGCCGCACCTCCACACTTGCTGCTCTTGGCCCATTCGCAGTCCCACTACCCTTCTCCTTTACAGTGTAACCAGTGCTCCAGGCTCCTATCTAAGCAGACACGACAGCAAGAGGGGAAGCAAGAACAAAAGCAAGACAACTAAAAATAAAAGACAGGTCATTTTCTAACTCTCTTGCCTAGGATCGAAGTTGGCAGTTCTCATTGCCTTATTCTTTAACCTAGGTTTGTTCAAGAAAATTAATCTTCCCAAAGCATGACTCAGACTGTAGAGCAGGCTTCCGGCACCAAGTTACACTTATACAGGAAAATAATGGTTTCCCTAGCAAGAAGAAAAAAGTCTGAAAGGTGCGATTCCTTTATTGCAAGGAAAAAAGTGTCTGTTGCCCTCTAAAAGGAAAAAAATAAGTAATCCTTTCTCATGCTGTAAGGAAGAGAAACAAAGCTTATGTTTTTCCCTCAAATTTCATAGCTCTGCAGGCTCATGTTTTCACTTTGGGGTGTGCCCAATTACAAAATAATCTGGCAAGCAGAGAAATATCAACAGTTGTGCAATTCCTCCTCAGTTAAAAGGAAAGCAAATCATCAGCTTCCAGCAGGTATGAACAACCTGTCAAACATCACAAGCGCTGAAAGCAAGAGCCTTTAAATATCCTCTCCAGGATGGGCCATGTTTACTTGAATACATGCTTTTAAATCAAAGCAAAGAAACCCACCCAGCCTCAAACACCTCAGGTCATGGAGAAAAACAACAACTCTTTGCCAAGGATCCTTTTTCTCTGCTGGGCTGCTCTGCATTGCCTAGTCGTACAGGGAATACAAAGATGCAAGTATTAACAAGTAGTGTCCTGGGTGGCACACAAACCCCACCTTACCCCTGTCCCTCCACCAACTGGGAAGGTGTTTCATCTGCTGGGGTGTTGGGTTTGGGGTTTTGTTAGTTGGGCTTTTTAGGGTTCCCCCCCTGCAATTTTTTTTCATTTTTCAGCTACTCCAGTATCTCCTGGAATAGAGGTTCACACTATCTCAGTCTCCATCCTTCCCCCACCCCCAAAGAAGAGCGGGAGAAAACACAAACTGGCCTTGTAGTAGAATACTACTGGCCACAGACTAAAATTACAAGGACCCAGCAGTTGTCATTATCTCAAAGCAATGCTTCTGAACCAGGAACAATTTGACCTCATTTTTACTTCTAGCTGCAAGCACTTAACCCTTTCATCAGTTCCCTCCAGGCACTGGAAATAATCTAAACACACAAACATATTAGCCAAACCAGAGACACCAGCTGAAGACCAAACAGCCTGCAATAACTTAAAGAACTTCACATTCTGCAGTATCCCAAAGCTTTTCCTTGATTAGAAACAAGTGAATGGAGCCATAAGCTTCAGAATAATCTCATGTTTTCTAGGAAAGAGCACCATTTACTTTGTACGCCTTAAACCATTCACTCACACACAACCATTTGGTGCCACCATATTTTACCAACACGTAAGCTTAGAAGAAAGCCACCCTGACATGGCCAGGTACAACTTAGGAACATTTTACCTCCAACTTCAAACAAGCTGGGAAGAAGACAGGATCGGGTCAATTTGCATGGCACAGCCTTTTGACCTGTTATGAGAATCCTTTAGAAGGTGGCAAAATATAGATACTGAAGTAGGTAATTGTCATTTAACATGTACGTGAAGTGTTTTGTCTCTCTTAAAAAGAGAGCAGCCATCCTCCATGTTCCTCCTAGGTAAGGGCATCCTTAAATTTCAAACAGACTGCAACCAAAAACAAAGTTTTCAGACATACAGGTTCATCTGAAGATTCTGTACAGGTAGAGCTACATGGTTTCACTCTGCAGCTTAAAAAAAAAATTGTTAGGCCAAGACAATCCAAGAATGGGCAAGGGATAGTATTCAAACTCGGGGGTGGCTGTGGGAAAGTAAACTGTACAAACGCTGGCATAAACTCATCCTCTCGCATATACCTCTGACCTCTGGCTATGTAGTGAGGCTGTGGTGTACTTAGCTAGGAGAAGAGTCTAGAGGTGGAGAAGGATTATGTTAAAAGTAGTAGAACTACCCACGTTCCCCTGTTACTCTGACTGCCTTGCTGTCCCAGCTTTCAAAAGAATAAAATCTTACAAATGCAGGTGAACTGTGTCTAGGGGGAAAAAAAAGGAAAAATTAAAAAAAAGAGGAGGAAAAAAGAAAGAATGAGGGTGTAGAAAGGGCTTACCATTGCGTTCCTCAGATCTAAGGCTCTTCTTTGCAACTTCTGCCAATGCCCCAATGCCAAGACCAACAGCTAGTCCTTTAAAATAAGAAGAAAAAGACCCAGGTCAGAATGAAAAAAGCAGAGGCATTTTTTGTAATTAAAATTAAGCCATGTGGTCGAGTGCACAACAGCAAAACAGCTTTATTAGAACATCCTGGCTTTTGCAATGGAGTCATCTTCAAGTTTGATGCTGAACATTTTTCTCCTGCACTTCTTCAACCCAGCATACCAGCCAGGCATCATAGGCTAGGCCAGCTTGGGATGTCCGGCTTTTTTAAAGCATGTCAACAAGGCTACTCAGAGCTCTGTGCTCTGGCTGAGGTCCTGCTGTAGACTCAAACTGGGGAGTTCAGAAAAAGAGAAGAAAAAAAAAACAACTCACAAACATGGTTCTCAAAGTACAATTCTCAGGGAAGAACAGGATCCTCCTCACCCCCTACCATGCCACCACAGTAGGGAGAAGCAAAACTGTATTTAGATGAAGCCACTGCCAGTAGAGCTTAAGGCTCTGTGACCCTACTCTAAGCACTCAGGTTTATTTGTGCCCATGAGCTGTCTGACTTCCATTTGCTTATTGACTATGACAAACAGAAACATGTTTTTTCCCAAGGCCCACCTTATGCAAGCAGTGTTGTAACCTGTAATTCCAAGGAGCTGCGCTGGGGAGTAACCCTGCATAGCAATGGTAAGACCATGAGACCAAACACCAGCACTCCACATGCGCTATCACCCTTGCAAGCAGTGAATTCTAGACTGTTGTCTCTCAGCCACAGGTTAAGCTATGACTACAAAAGAAGTGTTATCTGTCTCCACTAACCTGACAAAAGCCTCTGAAGATTAAATGAGACACTGATCTAATCATGCAGTAATCCATAATACCAAAGGTCTCACTGCCTTCCCAATTTCAAAATATTTATTTTTCTAGATAATAAATGACACGAGCAACCAGAACCACTGATGCTCCTTCACATCTCCTCAGCCATAGTGCATCCCACCACGCCTTATTCCCACGCTGCTTGCAGTACTGGGTGTGCATGTTTTCCAAGCACCCCAAACCCTCCTTGAGGCGCTACGGGACAGTTTCCCAAGTACAGCATAATACAGAAATCTACATTCAGAAAAAACATAACTTTCACAGGATGCCATGATTTTAACATTATAATACTTGCATTAAAAAACCCTGAAATAATTTTTGGAGGGTTGGTTTTTTGGGGTTTTTTTTTTTTGGTAAGTTTTCTGCATTTTCTGCAAGCTTTCCTATAGAGCTGCAGCACTGAAATGCCAAATTTAAGCCTAAAGAAGTCTACTGTTACTAGCTAATTTGTGCAGACCCTCCAATAGTGCCAAGCCACACGTGACCACTGAGCAAGTCTTTTGCACCAGAAATCCAGAGATTTTATTAGCTGAACAAAACAAGAAAGATATCCCTAGACTCCACAGGAAAGAAGCAAAGAGACTCTTCAAACAAAGCATAAACAATACCTATGAAAATGCTGATACACAGTCATCTCCAAACAGATCCCACAGGCGAGACAGTAACTTGGAACAGAAAGTACTGAGAGTCAGACAGGAAGCCAATGAAGACAGATATTTCATCAACAAATGTCATTTTTTAGACTGAATACCACTCACGAAGCACTTAAATTGGCCTTGATCCCACTTTCACCACCTCCAAAGCAATGCTCCCCATCAGAAATCACCTTAGTCATTATCAAAGGTAGACTGAACTGGTCTGGCAGTAATTGGTTCCAAATTAAATACATTGCATCTTCTTCTAAAGGCTCTACATTCACTACTGAGACTTACTACCTAAAAAAACCCCATTATCTGAACAGCTTGTGTTTTACATCAGTGTAGGCAAGATCAGACTCCAAACAAGTGTGTCTTACCTCTTCTCTCATGGCCATACACAGCTGAGCATCTGAACTAAACCATATTGTAGGCTACACTAGAAAAAGACTTCTGTTACAATAGTTCTTCTTAGAATTTGCTCACTGCTCCACTCTGTCCAATCTGCTAGAAAATTAACTCCAATCATCAGTCAACAATGGCTTCAAGTAAACTAAAGCCAGGCAAAACCAAGTTCATTCTTAAACCCCTGCTAAGGTTTAAAGATCTGGATTTTAAACAAAGGCTTCAATCATCTTCACACAAATCACAGTGTGTAGCAGGGTATTTAGCTCAGGGCATTTTATGTAAGTGCAACGCAGCATTCCTACATCAAACGTTCAGTAACTACCCGGAAACATCTCAGGGCATATGCAGCCCTGCTCTAAATGTGGTAGCAGGAGGGTATATAATACTCTTGGGACCGCACAGGACCATACGTGTTCTAGGTGTCTGCTGCTTCTTAGCAATTAAGCCTGAAAAAATGCAGTCAGTTGTATATGTAATCTTCTGTCACCAAGAAACAGGTGACAATTCAAAGTTTTGTTTCTGAAAGGAATGCCAAAACTTGGCCCTTTCCCTGAATGTCCAGGGCTTAGAAAAAGCTGACACTTTTCAGAAGTCTCAGTTGCTCATGTTATTCCTTTGTTCTTACCAAGTTATTATCAGAAAACTGTGAAATTGGATAATTAAATAACAGGCTAAATTCCTCATGGCTCTAACTCCATCCACTAACCCCAGTGCTAGGTATCACTCTGACCCTGAACCTCAAGAACGTCTTACCTTCTCCTTTACCAACCTGAATTTCATTCATGTGGTGTTTGGAGCACACACAGCAAAAAAACAGCGTGGAAAACTTCACCTTTTCACATCTTACAAACCAGACTAACACTCTAGGGTTCAGAAGGGAAGTACTAGACAAGAGGGCTCAGAGCCTCACCACTCCTTTCCTGGAATGCCCCTCAGATTTGTTTTCCAGGCCTATTTGCACACCCACCCATCTGAAAGGCCATGGTCTAGGCACGTTTTATTTGAACACAAATAATGCTGTGTACTGGGTCTGGCTGAGATAGGAGTTATTTTTCTTCATAGCAGCCTGTATCATGCTGTGTTGGATTTGTGACTACAAGCATTGATAACACACCAATGTTTTAGCCATTGCTGGACAGCGTTTGCACAGCATCAAGGCTTTTTCTTTTTCCCACTCCGCCCCCACAATGAGTAGGGCTGGGGGTGGGCAAGAGGCTGGGAGGGAACACAGCCAGGACAGCCAATCCAAATCCATCAAAGGGATATCCATACTGTACAACACCATGCTCTGCAGTAGAAGCTCGGAGAAAGGAGGATGAAGGAGGGACATTTGGGGTTATGGTGTTTGCCTTCCCAAGTAACTGCTACAGATGCTGAGGCTTCCCAACAAGTGGCTGGACATCTGCCTGCCAACAGGGAGTAGTGAATGAATTCCTTTTGATGCTTTACTTGCACATGGAGCTTTCCTTCACCAATTAAACTGTCTTGATCTCAACTCCCAAGTTTTCTCACTTTTGCTCTTCCCATTCCATACTGCTGTAGGAGGAAACAAGTGAGCATGGGGCTTAACTGCCAGCCAAGGTCAACCCACCACATGGTGCCAGCCATTCACCTGTTACCAGGAACGAGTTATCCCTCCAAAGAAACCACAGGGCTGTAAAAAAGCACTCTCCTCCTCTGGGCCGCTAGTCTACTGACCTTGCAGAAGTCACTCCTGATGTCCTTCATTTTCCTTCTCTGCAAGATGAGTATCTCCTCCAAGATTAATCGTTTTGGGACAATTTTCAGCACCACTGAACAGCCACAGTTCAGCACCTTGGAAAATAACATCCCCGAGCACCTCTAGAAAGTCACACTCCTTCATTTTGCACTTTACGCAGACAGATTATTTCAGGCCTGCAAAATGCCACTTGGTTTTATACCAGCAGAGTGCCTCTTCAGACATTTTCCAGGCACCTCCAGCACCCGTTACACTTCAAACCAAGCCCATTGAGAGCTGATCTGGAATCAGTTTTGTTCAGGAAGAATCCTCTTGCTCAGCAACTGACACAACAAAACAAACCGGAGACTGAATGGGCTGTTATCATCCTGCTCAGCCTGCCAAGCGCAGGGGTGGGCGAGACTCTCCCTTGGAGCGGCCTGGGCCCTGGCTTTGGTCATGTCAAACACCACAAGCACCACCCAGAACACATTGCAAGCTGCAGATAGTTGTGCATCGATTTCCACTAGTTTTCTAAGCATTAAACGCTCACCAGAAGAAAGCCACACTCACTTGTTACTCTCGTGACAATCTGAATCCTGTAGCTGTCAGTCCTGTGTATACTTTAATAAGAGGCTCACTTTTTTTTTCTTTCCAAATTGCTTCAATCACATTAGAGCTAAACTTCACTGCAAGCTTCCCGAATTTTCTTTATTGCAAAAAGATATTATTATGTCATTAAAATAATAAACTTATAAACCAGGAATATGATTAAGGGAGACAAACTGCTTAGAAAAGTCAAATGATGCAAGGAAGGGAGAATGGAAATAAAGAAAAGATCAAGAAATGTGTGGGTGGAACTGATGACCCATCAGGCTACAAAACAAGCATGGAACAAAAAACTGCAGAAAAATCTGTTTTACCAATTCCAATCCTCAGAAGAAAAAATAAAATAAACAAAGAAAAATCAAGGATGATATTTAGTACTATAAATACAGCTACCAGCAGTCACTCCAGCGGCCACAAGAAGCATACAAAAATACATATAAAGGACAAAGAAATTCAGTAAAGGATCTTGTGCTGATTACAGAGAAACATTAGCTCAGTATTACATGCAAGCTTTAGAGAAAATGATCTTCAATCTTTCCAGCAAAATGTTCTTTGATCCCAGAAGAGGTGAGAAGCCAGGCAAACTCTGCAGTCCAAGTATTTCTGCCTCCTGTTACTAATTTGTCCATCACCCATCAGAGTGCCTGAACACCACAGCCAAGAGATCAACATTCCCTATAACATGGCGGGGGGACAAAAAACCCATGCAAAGACAGGAGGAGGAATGATTCAAGTGTGAACAGGCTCATGCTAATAGCATGGGAATTCGGCTATCTGAACCCCAGGAATAGTTACATGAACCCTCTTTTTGACCTATTCAACATCTTTCCATCTTGTCCAAATCTAAAATGATGATGTTCTAATATGGAAACAAAGAAAAAAGTGGGGTTTATCCCACCAAGGAAAGACAGAGTCAAATGTTAGTTTGACTGGTGTGGAGGTGGTAGAGGAAGAATTCACCTCCACTATTACATTTCCCACAATGATTTCCTGAGGTCTTCAAATGAAGACGGCACCCCAAAGCACACAAAAAACAAAAATGCGCACAAAAAGCTTACTTCATCTAAGCTACACTCCCTCACAGATACGGAGCAGCCTCCTGCCCTCAATTATTTTCAAAGCAATGCGAAGAGGCAGCTGGTAGAGCAGGAAATAATCACACCCCCATCCCTGCCATCCTCTATTTAATTCTGATCATTTGAATGTCCTAGGAAGCAAGGACAGAGCTGGGTCACTACTATTCCACAGGTTAACAGTCACATCCCCTGCAAAAGGGCTCCTTCCAGCTGTTAACTATCATCCCTCAGCAGCAGCAGGTGCTCCCAAAAACCAGTAATATAATTGGAGACTCATTAAATCATCCTACACCTTGTTTCTAACTTCTGTTGAAAAGGCAAGAGAAAAGAAAAAGCATGAGAGAACACACTGTCCAGGCACAAGGAACTTCCAACTCATCTACTACTGAGCTTTGAAACATTCAGTTTACTTCAAGCTTATCTTGGCTTCTCTAAAAAAAAAAAAACCAACAAAAAAAACATTAAGTTGGGTTGGATCTTAGGAAAGTAAAATCAATTCTCATCTCCATTGGAAACTGCCTCCTATACCCTCATAAGACTCCCTTAATCAGCCTCACTCTTCAGCTTGCAGATACTTTTAAAAATTGTACACGTTACCTCTTGCATCACTCCTGAGATTAATACCCAGAAAGGACTGATAGTGAGTAGCTAGAAGAGGCACACAAGTACAACCTTCCCCAGCTCACAATCTAAGAGGAAAACAGTCAACCATAAGCCAAAACTCACCAACAACTTCAGAGGAATTAAAAATGGGTAAAAATGAGTGGTATGCTACGGCTCTTGCCATCAGCTAATGCTTCCTGGTTTAAGCACTTAAAATGCTTCACAAAGATGCGATTTGAAAAGAATATTTCTCATCAGATAAGAGCCAGTCAGGAAAAGCTACACTAGAATTAGCTGATGGGGTTTCACAATTGCACTGGCTCTCTCAAGGCCACGGGCAGGTCAGGAAAAACACTCTAAACTTGGAGCAAAGAGCAAGCAGGAGCTGCTCCTCACTATCAACAGAGTCCCTCTTTCCATGCAGTTCTAGAGACTGTTTAAAAGCTTGTATCAGTCTGGATCAAGATCTGACCATTAAGAGGTGTTCCTTACAGATAGTCCTTCCCATGTGGGGCTGCCCATGCTACTTCAGCCTCGCCACACCCTCAGAAACCTTCTTCAAGCATTACCCAGCCTACCAAAGTATTACCAAGGGATTTCTTAAACTGGAAAAAACCCTACCTATAGGCCACATCTGTTGTTTGTTATCCCGTGTACCGGCAGTACTATTTCTCCTTGCTGTCGCAAGGAAAAATTCAGAGGGAAAGATAAGCAGTGAATGCTAACAAGAGATTGCAGGAGAATCTGAACACCAGTTTTGCAACACAGTGTCTCCCCCAAGAGCAATTGGAAAGCAAGAGCTCTGTCTTGCCAGAAATTTCAATCATATAAAACAGACAACTGGAGAAGGGCAAGACCAAAAAAAATACATGACACACACAGCTATGACTGGGGATGCTGCTTATAAATAATCTCTTTCTTTCTTACTCTCCTGTCATGGTTTTGGTTTGGTGAGGGGGGTTGTTTTGGTTTTTTTAACCTGAGGTTAGGAGAAGACAGGTAGTTAGTTATCTATTTCCCCTTGAAGCACGAGTCAGCCTTTCCTCCTGCAGCAGCCTTGGGTGCCAAGAGCTGGAGCGTACAGCAACAGCACTGGAACTCAAAGTTCACAGAAAATTTGGTCATCTGCCACTTCACATCCACCAGCTGTCAGCAAGCAGCCACAGTTAAATTCAGAAGATGACAGCTAAAAGTGCTGTGACAGTTTCCATAAAAATCAAGGCTCGATTAGAATGGAGACCTGTAAGCTACTAGAGCTTAAAAACAAAGAAGTCAAGTGAGTTTTAAAGACACTCCAAAAAGCAGATCATGAATCCTGCTTCCCTTTAAGGAATACTAAGCATACTGAGAGTGCCTGCAATGAACTACAGGCTTAAAGTGATCTGACCAGCATTAAAACTTTGTTATCACAAAGCTCACTTGCTGTTTATTCCAGTGCTGCATAGAATCAGTCCCTGCCCTGAACTCCTCCTAGTGTGCATATTACTCTGACAGAGACACACACAGAGGAAGAATAATTGGGGTTTTTTTAGTATAATAGTTGATCTGAATTACATTTCACAAGCTATTTTTCTTTCTTCTGGGATCCGTAACACAAAGATGTCTACTTTGTACATGTGCTTCTCTATCAAATTTTGTGGAAGAGAATCACAAGAGCCTAACACATTACTTGGGAGAGATGGTTCACAACCTAGATAGGCTACTATCATCTCAAAACACTGCAGTCACAAAAAAAACCCAAAAACAGAGAGATTATTCATCTAATGATTAGCTAAATAAGACTACCTGTGATCATCTTTTCCACCTGCAATACTGTGATAGTTCCCTTTTTCTCAGGAACACATTAAGTCCTTCGATGGCTTTGGATATAAGAGATTAGGTAGGCACCATCTGTTAACATTACTGAAGATATTTTGTTAAGTCCTTCGATGGCTTTGGATATAAAAGATTAGGTAAGCACCATCTGTTAACATTACTGAAGATATTTTATTGCTTTTTAACATTGTAAGTCCCATTCTGCAAATAAAATTCACATAGGTTTCAGCTAGCTTGATCTTACAAGCTCAGACTTTACATCCTTCCTGGGAGAAAATGGTTTATAAGCAATGGCTAAGTAAATCAAACCTTGACTATTATCATCTCCCCACCCTCAAAAATCAATACCAAAAGGATATGTTTTATATTTAACCACTGTTCAGAGAAGTTGCAAGGGTAAGTTTGGGAAAAAAATTATTTAAAATAACAGCTGCATCAGCTGTCTTCACTTGACAGTAACAGCATGCTGTAAGGACTAGAGGGAGAGTTTCCTCAAAGTGAAATCACATATAGAGGACCAGGGTATTTGTGCAGACTGGAGAACAACCTGCTCCTCATTCTCTCCCTCTTATTAAACCAGCACAACCCAGCATACGTTACCATGAAGAGGAGCATGCGTGCTCCCAAATAATCTGCCCTACACTCTTAAGAGTGATTTTTTCCCCCCCTCGAAAGAACAGGTATATGAAAACTAAGCTCCAGGAATATATCAGCCTGCCATCTTAAGACAAATAGAAACCCATGCCAACTCTGTAGTTCTTGTTAACAGGTAGCTTGCTGAATGCATCTGAAAGGTCCATTTAAGTGGGGAGCTTTTTTCTTTGCCATACTACCACAGTAGCAGTTAGATATGATAAGAGTGACAGAAAACAGGATTCAAGGTATAACTTCATTCTGACTAAAGGCCAAAATCCATAATTGTACTGAAAAAGCCCAAATCAAGCTCTGAGCTAACCAGCTGTTTGTGGGAAAGCACTTCCCTATTAGCAAGCTTAACAAAAACCAGAACCAACTAATGCTTCTGCAGGAGCACTATCATAGCCGACCATTAATCAGTACGTGCAAGCCTAGTGACTTCACAACTGCAGGTGTGCAAACTGACCTCCAAAGTTGGCGAGCCGTCCGATCCTTGTGACGGGAACCTTCCTCTCCCGGGCCCGCTCACTGAGCTGCAGCAGAAACAGGGGGAAAGGAAAACAGAACAAAAAGAAATCCACAAATGAACTGGGCATATGGTCAGATACCTGCAAATTCAGAGCACGAATTTGAAAGCACTTGAACAATTCTGTGCTATAGAAAGCTTTTCCTGAATATGTGTGTTATATATATGTTGATTTTCAAGTGAACACACTGCAGAACGGACAGATCTTGAACTGAAACATACACCAAGCAGAGAAGTGGACAAGAGGGTGGGAAAGACAGAAGAGCTGACACCCATGTTTAGAATCCCCATTTTTACTTTCACCTCAGCAGTTCTTATATTTTGAACTTGGAGAAGCAGAGCAATGCCAACCCAAACTCCCTTCCACACAAGGAATTAAAACTCATGGAAGGTTATCAGGTTCGCAATACCATAGATAATTCCCCCACGCACAACAGCTGGAACAGAAGCAGCAATACCATTTCATCAAAGCAATATTCTGAGTGAGTGAGTGAACTCACAGTAGCATCTGATATTGGGTTTGGGGAAGGACTCTAGAAGGACTGCAAAATACAATACAGGAAGCCACAGCCTCCACTGAGAGGAGCTTAAGTCCAATTCATTCTTCACAGTTAGAGCAAAACAACTAGCTAAAGGGAACAGGGCCCTTCAAGGAAAAGATACTCTTTAGGTCAGTCTTCAAACCTTTGTAGCCTACAGCTGTCCCCAGCTGCTCAACATTTCACCCCAAAACCAGGGATGAAATACAGACCCTTTGTTACTGTAACATGCATCAATACATTGAGTCTTCATAGTCCAGTGAATGAAAGGAGAGCTGCTGTTAATATAGAACTGAAGTCTTTGTATGCTTTTTAAACATCCTCTGACATCAGTATATCTGATATAGAGAGAGGGGGCAGGTGTGAAAGGAGAGGCTGAAAAGCTATTGACAGAATAAATATCAGAGATCAGAGTTAATGAGCACTGACACTTCCCTCTTTTTGCCTCCAGAAAAGGGAATAGCCAAAGAGGAAGAAATGAGAGAAATGCAGGAGAAGATGAGTAAGGACAATCCAGTATAGAAACCATAGTATTGAGAATTCTTAATTTAAAAAACAAACAAACAAAACCCAAACCCAACATACCATCTGTTTGTAGGGTTTCTGCTCTGAACCTGTTTTGGCCTGCCTGGCTTTATCAATATCTTCAGCTGTTAATCCACTAACAGAGGAATGGTCTTGGTGAAAAGCCCTGTTTTGTCCAAAGGCAGCAGCAAAAGGATTTCCAGGGTCCCTAAAGCCTCCAAATAACCTTGCATCCATTTTGGGAGGGAAAGGCTTCTGACCCATGAGAGAATCTCCAGTCTCACCAACATTTCTAAAAGGTCCATTCGTAGTGTAAGAGGAAGCAGGGCCTTCACCGCTGCGTTCGTGAGGCTTGCCAGGGGCGGTGGCGAAGTCCATTGGAGCATCTGCTGGCTCTCGGGCTGAGAAGTCATAGTCTTTCCCAAAATCCTCACTGAGATCAGTTAAGTTCTCCTGTTTTTTGCCTAGTTCCTGCAAACGGTAATAGAAATACTTTAAGAAAAGATCTTAAAACCTGCTCCATACCCAGCCACGGCCCTCAGAGATAGGCATAGAGCTAGGCTGTCACATTTCCACAATGAATAATTTGTGGAGACTCTGGCACTGCAGGCAGTTACAGTAAGAGATAGGAATAAGGAAGAGATGCTGAGGACACCTGGGATCACTAGTGGTCTTTCAGCCCCACTGATGGGGCAAATTCATTAACAGCTTATCAAATACCTGTATCTGGAGACATCTTTTTCTACATACACTGCTTAGAAGGGTCACTAATTGTGGAATTCACTAGAAGCAATATACTGCTCAGAAGCAACAGGTGATGGGAGCTGCAATATTGCATAAGATATGCTTAACAAAAAGCTAAACCTTATAATATTCAGTTTTTACCCCTACCGTGCTCCCTTCTCCCATCCTGTCCATAATCATGCACTGTCAGCACTTTCAAGCCCAAAGCCACCCAAAGCAATACCAGATACCTACTTATTTGCAAAGTAAGCTAAGCCTTCCATGGCCAGGACATTACTAACTGCAAAACACATTTCATTATTCAACCACTAAACTATGGCAGGGTTTGTTGTCATCCCAAAATAAATAAATAAAATTCTGCACTTGAACCAAGGATAGCAGCATCAGGCACAGCAACACTCAAGACAAGCTTCTCCTGACAGTCTTTTCTGTTCTGTCCTGACCTGCAAGAGCTGCCCCACCAAGTCCAGATATTCCCCACCACTTTTCAATGTAGAAAAAAAATATTAATAATAAAAAAAAAAGTCAGCAGCAGAGCATTATCTCCTATTTACTTGTTACTTGACATATTCTAGTTACCTTTCTCAGCAGCAGCAATACCACGGAAGAACTTATGACTATTACAGCCAATCAACAGGATTTTAAATCCTGCTGTGGTCAGGCAAGCAGGCAGCATATTTTAAGCTCTTTCCTAAACACTAATTACATTTCCCTTCCTTACACAAAAAAACAGAACATGGTCTTTCCTGTTATTCAGCAGGTCTCATGCTATTCTGAACCTCAACATCACAGTGGGGAGGAGAGGAGAAATCTGTTTACAGATGGGGACTGTGGCCACACTACTGACTGATGATTTCAAGCAAGAAGGTCTCTCTACTTCCATACTTAAATTTTAAAACGCGTATCAGATAGCCAAAACCCTGCCACAGATCAAGAGAAGTGAAATACAGTAACGTAACATAAAAGCTTTCCTCTCTTTAAAACAGAAAATGTTGTAGCTTTGGTAGCAGCTTCTCGTGCAACTCATTTATAGAACGCAGAGCAAGCATTCTGCAGGTGTGCTCAGGGGGCCTCTCTTGTGCAGAGAAACAGGCACAGGAGAACAGCATCTCCCTCTCTTCTTGGATGGAAAAGGAGGACAAAGGCAAGACAAAGTGCTATCCCCATAAACAAACACACTTCGGGTATTTCTATTGCAAGCTTAAATAGAACCAAGGGAAGTCAGGCCCAGATTCTAGGACTGAAGCTATAGACCACCATCATAGTCTAAGCTTATTGCATAAAACCCATCAAAACCTCACTCATTAACTTCTGCTTCAAAAATGATCTGAGCTACACTGTCTTTCTAAAGGATGATAATTTTTGATTAAGAGAAATTCTTTTCCTCAGACAAGCTCTATGTTTTCAAGAGGTGGCAAATGTGAACCTCTTAGAAATCCATCCCCATGTCTGCTGACAAAAGCTGCTGCTAAAAAAAAAAAAAAAAAAATTGGCAATCGAGAGAGAGAGAGAGTCTGGCTTTCCTCATGTTCCTCATTTGAAAATCAGTTCCGAAAATCCAGCCTGGGCTGTAAGTGATGAACATGCAAACACCTGACCCTGAGCCATTCTGAAAAATATCACGTGCACCTATTCTGTCATGAAAGGAAGCAGCACTGAGATAAATCCAATTCACTCCAGAAGAACTCATTCAATTAGTCAAAGGAGAGGTAATCAATGACTGAAGTTTAAAGGAGACTTTAAATAACAAAGCTGCTGGCCAATCTTAAGGGAGAGCTTGATCTTTGACAAGATGAGGTGAACAGAGTGCTCTTCATTTTCAGCACTCAGTAATGGAAACAGAAACAGTCTGCAGTAACATTCCCCTCCCATTCCTGTCCAAGCACCTACTGCACACCACAGAAATCCTGGAGAATTCCCAGAGCATTGCAACATCTGTTTTATCAATCCACTGCTTCAGATCTAGGTTCTAGTTCATGATGCGAGTTCCTAGCCACTCTCACAACAAAACCAAAAAGTGCCTGGAGGAAAAGCAAAACATCAGACTAGACTGTGCACAAAGAGCTTTGCTTACCTGCATTTTTCCCAAGGCAGAACTGAACTGTTCTTCAGCAGTGGCCTGGAGAGTCCTTGCAATGGTAACTGCATCACCCCCAAGGAGCACCTGCCGAAGCTGCCCTGCCTGGGTTTCTAGGACCGCTTTACTAAGCTTTGTCAAGCCTTTCATGACCATGATGGCATCACCCGCCATGACTGCTGTCTTTCTGTGCTGAAAGATGAAGAAAGAGAGGAAAAAAAAAGAAAAAGGTCAAGCAACAATTTTGCAACCAGTTTCAAGTCACCTAAGAGCCAGTAGCATATCCCAGACAATCTCTTTTTGCTTTGGCAACCAGCCACCACGGGAACTTGTTTGTGGCTCAGATAGCACACAGGAAAGCTCGAATGACAGCTAGTTAGCTGTCTTTACCATGCAAAGCAAGAACTCTCCTTATGACTGTTCATGAGTTAGGATAGCGATCCAGGACTCCACACAAATATTCACATTACCATTGACCAGAGGAAGCAAAGACAGGTATATGTCAGTAACACTGCAAAGATGGTCTTGACTCCTTCCAAATATTTAAAAAGGATTAAAAGCATTAGCATTTCACCTTTAATTATTATCAGGCCCTGGAACACATTCTCAGTGCCTGATAGCACGGATGAAGTGCACTGACAACACTCACATCCCATTCCTGCCCAGGAGCTATGCCTGCTCATTTTACATAGCCAAATTTCTTCACCCCCACATCAAAGAGCAAGCTCTGCCTGTCCTCCAAGGGTAGTCTGCTCAGCCCTTGACTTCTAGCTCACTGTGCTACTTTTAATTGGAAGCTTAAGTATGCTGAGAACACCTACCTACCACAGCATTTGCTAAATACTGCACTACAGTGCTAAATTTTTTACTCAGTCCCCCTTCCTGTTCAGGAGGCACTTCATGTGAGATTCATAACACTTTGTGCAATTTCAGTGTCTTCAAATACAAACTGGGCACTGTAGGATGCAGGACAGAGCGTGTCTGAGAAATACAAGTTCCACCAACTCCTCTGTCTCAGCCTAGAACCAAGCTCAGGCTTAGGACACCGGTTCTCCTACATCACTGTGGTTCACATAGAAGAAAATCAGGAGTGGCCGGGATGCCAAAACCATTTTCAAGGGAGATTTTCATCCAGTTAATTTCACTCATCTCCCACATCTTTACAGCGCAGTGAGGGTCACAGTTCCGGGGCTGGCTCATCTGCACGTCCTCCCACCTCTATTGACACAGAAGATAACATCTTGTGCCAACTGCATGCCTTTAAGTTCAACCTTACCCTTACAGCATTCTCTATAATGATTTAGAGAAAAAAAAAATGTTCTGGCTGCAATACATACCAAGCACTAATCTACGGCTACATATTTAAGTTATTTCCTAGGCAGGTACACAGGTACCAATTCATTTTTGGAAGGTAACACCCATACATGCACTACAACTAGAAACGTTAATACACTGCAGTGGTACAAGTGATCCTGAGTCAACAGCACGCACCACATTATGCCCTGCTGCAAATCACAAACAATTGGATCCAGTTACTTTCTCAGGAAACACAAAGCTCATCTCACAAATCTGTCTGCTGTATCAGTCATGCCAGAGAAGTACAGACTGCTAGAGCTAAATTTCTGGATAAGAACACAATTTTGCTGCAAGTCACAGGAGACGTAGGGATTACTACAGCTGAATTTCAGAAACATTATTATGCAAATGCAGGGTAAACCCTGGGTACCGGAATATTTGTTCAACAGCTGTTAATCAGTGATCAAAATCAGGAACAACCGCTGCAGCCAGGAAGTATTATACCTTATATGCTTTAAGTACAGTTGTTAGGACAGTCAAGTCTCACAACGAATCTGGGCTTAATTGGTTAGCTGTAAAAATAAAAATCAAGCCTACCTAGATCATTATTCCGTGGTTATCTTTGTAAGATCTATCCATAAGATAGATCTGTAAGATGTGTTACTTCTAAATCTCTCCAGAGTTTAATGACTAGGTTTGGGTTTAACATTGTATAACCTACTGTTAAACTTGAAAGCTGCCTGTCAGGTACGGAAATGTACTCTGTCACCAGGAGGTTTTTTTTCCACACACACACACACACACACACCTTCCCATCTTCACACTGGAAATTTCCACATGATCTCACTCAAAGCATTTGCGGGCAGTCCTTGCAATTCAGAGCTGGGCAAAGAAACCAACCAACACCACAATACTGTCCTAGCTGAAATGAGACTGTTCAAAGGTTGCCACTACTAAGAAACCAGTCCTTTTGTAGTCTCGAGAAGCACAGGAAAGCTTGCATGTGAAAAGTTCATTCCCCTCCCAGGAAGGGCAACAAAAGATAATGCAATATGGATCAATGTACACTCAGACAACACAAACATCTACTTTTAACATGAATTCTTTTTAACTAACAATACTAAAACCGTATCATCCTTTCACCCAAAAACAGCTGAAGGATTTATCTTGAAGTGACAGTTGTTACACACTAGATGTGCATTTAAAAAAAAAATCTTCCAACAAAATTGCAGGGACAGTAACGGAACCACAAATGGAAAACATACGTTGTGCAATGGGTACTCGACCCCTCATTGCTAAATATATCAGCAAGCAAAGAGGACCAATCACCCCTTACAGATTTGGCTATAAAAGACAGTACTGGGCACATTGCTGCTGATATCCTTCTGACTTCCATGCTATCACCCCCGCTTTGCTCTGCACAGCGGTTATAACCACCCAGGTACCACACAAGTGCCTTGTGAGCTCAGAAGCATCAGCAACACGCTCCTGTACAGCGCTGCCAAAGGACAGGCTATTGTAACAGGCCATTTACCCCAGCACCTTGCTGAAATACAGACCTCTGTGTAGCAAATACAAGCCTACAGGCAACTAACTCGCTGTTTTCTGTGATATTTCAGCTTCTCGGCAGGCAGCTCACAGACCCAAATGGAAGCCACAGTACAAGCACAAAGGCAAGGCATGGCTCAATAAGGACTTCAGAGGTCAAACCAAGAAGAGTCAACAAATAAAGGCTGAGAAGGACGAACGTATTTTCAGGAGCAAGATCATACTCCTGCTTTTTAACAGAATTGTATCGGTAAGCCATCTCCTTCCAGTTCCTCATCTTTTGTATACCAAGTCCTTGCCTCTAACAAAGCATGGTCAGGAAAAAGCAGAGGAAACAAAAATAACTATACTGCAATGATTAATCCTTTGGCAATAGGCATCAGGAGCAAGAAAACATTCAGGTAATGTCTGTACCCATCACCAAGCAATATGAAAGTGGGAGCTAATAAGGGCAATGAGAACTGAACCAATATTGGAGGCATTTTCCTCAAGTGGAAAATCCCAGGTTATCTAGTTTTGTAGATCCTACATTTAGCTGGACACATTGGTTAATTGTCCTGGGACAGACAGAGAAAGCAGACACTAACAAGGTTATCACAACCAGAAGAGGAAAGCATGAAGGAAAATACATGCTAGATAATCAGGAAGGAAAAAGACTACACACAAAAAAAATAACTGAGATTACAAAAATTATTTTTTTTCTTCAATGAAAATGCAATAAGCACAAGCAAGGGCAAGAGACACGAAAACTGAAAGCAGAAGTACACACTTCCAAGACGACTGGTACATATCCCCAACAGTACACTTGTGTTAATACCCAGTGCAGACAGTGAGCAAGGGATTTTTTTTTCCCCCTCCCCTACAACAAGTTCTGTTCATACCACAACTAAATCAATAAACAAACAGCATAAGCAAGCTCTATCAAAAAGAGATTTAAGGAGTGGTTTCAAATAGAATTGGTCCGAGTGTAAAAAGTCTGTATCACACTTGACTGATCTCCTGAGGACTCATTATGTAGCGCTAGCAAAGTAGGGCACTGCCGGCACGGAGTATGGACAAGGTGGTCATGTCTACACAAGCTGTCAGAGTGCCTGCTAAGCCGAATTAAAGAGGGCTGACAAATGTCAATCATGAGCTATTTTCCAAGAACAGGCAGGGGCACTGTTTTTGCTCAGTAAACTTCTGAGTTGAATGAATCTGGAAAACACCCACACCTCCTAGCAGGAGGAGGCTAGAGCCAAGTCATCCTCAGACACCAGACAAGGTCCATGCAGCAGGCAGAGAGGCTTGAGTAGATGCCACACTGGTAGGTAAACCATCTCCTGACATCACACCAGATTGTTGTAACAACAAAACCAAGTCGGTGATTGGGATGCTCCCATGTGCAACGACCACCTGCCTCACAAGCCACTGTCCTCTAATGACTAACTGCAGTGCATTGCCTCCCTTCAACACACCAGACTGCTGGACTGAAGGATTAAGCAAGTATAGTGAGACACTCAATAGTGGCCAGAGAGGCCAATAACAGAAACACAAAGCCTCACAACAGGCAACAGATAAATTCTTACATTTGTACTGTTTTCAAAACACATCCCTCCATTCAATCCCCTTCTTTTCCACATGCTAACATGTACTCCTACAGACACACACACCAGCTTCTGTCTCCATGTGCTTTTTTCCAGATGCTTGTACAGTCAAAAACCATACTCATATATACACATACACATGGGTATACATACACACATATTTATATATAGGACTGACCAAGTTTAAACACAAGTTGCCTTCTAATCATACAGAAATATACCAGAAATATTTCTGAAAGTTTTCTGTGCATGACAACACAGCCTCTTTCAATGTAAGGGAATTACATCTACCATCAACAGTTTTGCTATCCACTCAAGAAAGAAGTTCATCTACTATTGAATAATAATTAAAAAAACCACAACAAACCCACCAACCAAAAAACCCCACCAAAACCCCAGCAGTTTTACAGTAGCCCATATTCCCCATATCAGGTCTGCAGAAGTTTTAGCTGCCGCCTTTATCTCCAACTTTTCTTTTAAAGGAGACAAAAATGAAAAAATATTAGGCTGGACAGGTAGTAAGGCAGATAATTAAATAACACACTGCCAAAGAAAACAAACAGTCTCCATGCCTTCCCCCCCCTTCCTATTATCCATTACCACAATCACTGTTATCTTACTTGTATCTAGACAAGGACTACAACCCTGGAATCAGTGTTACAGCCACCCACACCACCAGAGTGAGCGCGGCTAGAGTATGAAATAAAAATAATAAACACTACAAACAAGATACAGATGACCAAG